GCTAGAATCTTTAAATTTGGCGTGAGGGTCCTTCTTGGTCCAAAGGTGTCCGATAAGGCTGGAAATTCGAACTAGAAAATTACGAAAAGTACTAAATGTGGTACCATTAGTATTTGGCGAACCGGTGCAGCTTAGAGTTGGGCAATCTAGTTCATCTAACGGATCAATCTTTCTCGTTCATTTTTTAACCAGTAAGGAAAGTAGTAAAGTCGGACTGGGCCGACTATATGATACCCTTCACCACTTTGGTTATATTCTACATATGTATCCTAACAGACGACGCGTTTTTGTTATATATCTATATCTGTACCGATTTCAGGAAAACTTGCCAGAGACTAATTTATATTACTTCAATACGTTGTGTCAATCTAGACTTAATACAGTACCCTATATCAAAATCTGAACCGACTTTCACGAAACTTAGCACACATTATTATAGACGCAATTCAGTACGCTATGCCAAATTTCGTGCAAATCGAAAGATCTATAGGGTCTTTGGTACACCAATTAACTTAAATCGGAATATATATATATATATATATGGGAGCTATATCTAAATCTGAACCGATTATCGCGAAAATTTGCACACATCATTCTAGACTTAATTCAGTACGCTGTGCAAAAATTCGAGGAAATAAAAACATTTCCATGGACTTTAGTGGATTATTTACCTAAAATCGGGTAGTGGACTATTTACCTAAAATGGGAGCTATATCTAAATCTGCACCGATTTTCACCAAACTTTGCACACATCATTCTAGACTTTATTAATTACGCTGTGCCAATCGAAAGATATATAGGGAATTTGGTACACCTTTTACCTTAAATCGGACGAAAATATATATGGCAACTATATCTAAATCTGAACCGATTTTTCCCAATTTCAATAGGGTTCGTCCTTGGGCCAAATAAATGATCTGTGCCAAATTTCGTCCAATTCGGATCATAAATGCGACCTGTACTTTGTTTACAATTTAACATGGACGGACGGACATGCATAAATCGACTCAGAAAGTGATTCTATGCATATTCTCAAAAGGAACCATGGGTCTATCTCGATTATTTTTGCCTGTTACACACATATGCACAAAGACATAATACCCTGTACCACAGTGTGGTGAAGGGTATAAAAAGGAACTATTTCCTTAATGTAGTTTCTTTGCTCCATATAGTTCCTTTGCTCCATACAGTTCTTTTACTCCATACAGTTCCTTTGCTCCATATAGTTCCTTTGCTCCATATAGTTCCGACTCCTACATAGTTATTTTTCCATATATAGTTCCTTTGACCATTTAGTTCCTTTGATCCATATAGTTCCTTTAACGAGATCAGAAAAAGGAACTATATTAATTACAGAGCTGAACTAGTTCCGATCGTTCCTTTCTCGGAATAGTTCCAATGAACTAGTTCGTTCCGGAACTACCCAACTCTAGTGCAGCTGGAACTGTGAAATTTGGATTGAGGGTCATTGATTGAGTGTAGGATAGATGTACTAAAGTTTTTTTGAAAATTCGAACTAAAGTTATCCGAAAAGTACTAACATGTACTAATTTTTATGCAATTTCGTAGCATGTGAACGGATATAGCTAAAAACTTGAAATTTATAATGCGAACCAAGGTTGAGGTGTAGTTTTGGAAGTGTGTAGCCATGTACACCAAAAAGTACTAAATGGTACTATATTTGGTACAATTTGAATTTGGAGGAACGATTGGAACTGAAATCCTGAAATTTTAAATTAACATTACCGTCGGTGTTGAGGATTGAGATATGTATGTAGTTTTGTAAATTTTTTTGTTTCTGTATACGAAAAGTACTAGATCGTACTAATTTTGGTATAATTTGTATTTGGGTAAACCGATACAAATTTGGAAATGAGATTACTACTGCATTGTCGAATTGAGGAATGTTGGTAGTTTGGGAAATTCGTACTTATATGTACTAATTTTAGTACAATTTGAATTTTTAATGTACCAATAGAGCTGAAATCCTGAAATTTTAGTTAGGATCACTGAATGTGGGATTGGAAGGATTTTTTTTTGAAATTTCTACTAATATTTACAATTTGGATTTAGGCGAAGCTGTTGAGCTGGAACTCTGACATTTGAAAATAAGAAGTTTTGGAAATTTCTACTAATGTGTACTAAATTTGTTACAATTTGGTTTTAAGTAAATCGGTAGAGCTGGAACACCGAAATTTGGAAATATGATTTTTATTGGAGTGTAGGATTGAGGGTATAGATGTAGTTTTTGAAATTTGTACTTATGGGTACTAAATGGTACTAAATTTGATACAATTTGGATTTAGAGCTAGAATAGTAAAAAATTTGAAATTAAGATTACTGTTAGAGTGTAGAATAGAGGTATGTAGGTAGTTTGGTAAATTCGTACATATGTGTACAAAATGGTATTAAATTTGTAACAATTTGAATTTTGGGAGAATCGATAGAGCTAGAATCCTGAAATTTGGAGTTAGGATTCCTATTGGAGTGTAGGATTGAGGTCCACCCGTCTGTTGATGTCAAATTGTAAACAAGGGCACATGTCGCTTACTAGTCCGATTTGGATGAAATTTGGTATAACTCATTTATTTGGCCCAAGGACGAATCCTATTGAAATTGGTGATAATCGGTTCAGATTTAGATATAGCTCCCATATATACTTTCGCCCGATTTTATGTAAATGGTGAAAAAAAGTCCCTATATATCTTTCGAGTTGCACGAAATTTTTCATGGCGTACTGAATTGAGTGTGAAATGATGTGTGCTAAGTTTCGTAAAAATCGATTCATATTATGATATAGCTCCCATACATTTTTTCCTTCGATTTCATGTAAATGGTGTTCCAAAGCCCCCATTTGTCTTTCAATTTGTAATTAACTGAGTCTAGAATGTTGTTTGCTATGTTTCGTAGAAATCGGTTCAGATTTACATATAGTTCCCATATATATTTTCGCCCGATTTCATGTAAATGGTTTAGTAAGCCACTACATTACTTTCAAGTTACACGAAATTTTGCATGTCATACCGAATTTAGTCTAGAATAGCAAGTGTTAACTTTCGTGAAAATCGGTTCATATTTAGATATAGCTCCCATATATGTTTTCGTCTGATTTTATGTAAATAGTGTACCATTGCCCCTATATTTCTTTCGATGTTTACGAAATTTGGCAAAGCACACTGAATTATGTATAGATGGATGTGTGCTATGTTTCGTGAAAATCGGTTCAGGTTTAGATATAGCTCCCATATATTAGGTTGAGGAAAAATAAATCCATTATTTTTCTATGAACTTTAGGACTTTATTTAACATGCTTGGGAATGTCCGATTTTGGACAAATATGCAACGTTTTGTTTTATGATTTTAAAGATAACTTCATAACGCCTTCCTCATAGAAGTCCTGCTCTCCCTAGATACCAATTTGTTATCATTAAAGAATTTTTGCAAATCAAGAAGAAGATGATAATCCCGAAGTTTCTGGCGAGTCACTGTTGATGTGTGTGGCCTTGCGTTGTCCTGGTGGAACACAACACCTCTCCTGTTGGCCAATTTCAGGTTTCATTTCAATTTTCCTTCGAAAAGGAGACACCTGTTACATATGTTGAATATATCCAAAGTGGTGAAGGGTATTCTATAGTCGGCCCAGTCCGACTTTACTACTTTCCTTACTGGTTTCTCTATGAAAGAGTTTTAGATGATCAGTCCGTCTACTGGGGTCTAAAGAGTTGATGTAGATCTTTTGTTGTCAAGTCTATCCACCGATGTAGTGTAGGCTTCTTATGTGCATATATGATATGACAGATATAGGAGCTACAGAATTACGATATATCCAGCCTTTAAAATAAGCAGAATTTCTATAGTTCTTCTGCGGACAATAGAAGACTCAAAGATCAGCTATGGAGAGTAGAAGGAGTAAAAGACATATAGCCCTTCGAACTAGATTTATATCTCTTCTAAGGAACGTATGCTACATATATCTCTTCTGTGTACAGTAGAAGACCTATAGCTCTTCGATAGATAATAGAATATCTATAGTTCTAGTATGGATAGTAAAATACATATTACTCCTCTATTTAAATTAAAAAGTCTGTAGCTCTTCTATGGACAGTAGAAGACTTACAGCTGTTCTATGGACAATAGAAGAACTAGATCTCTTCTATGAACTGTAGAATACTTGTTGTTCTATTGCCCTTGGAGAGTAGAAAATCTCTAGCTCTTCTATGTATAGTAGAAGTCCTATAGCCCTTCTATGAACAGTAGTAGACATACAGCGCTTCTATGGACAGTATAAGACATATATCTCTTATATGGACCGTAGAAGACTTATACTTCTTCTATGAAGCAAAGAAGACCTTTAGCTCTTCTATAGACTGTAGTAGACATACAGCTCTTCAATGGACAGTATAAGGTATATATCTCTTATATGGACCCTAGAAGACTTATACTTCTTCCGTGAAGCGAAGATGACCTATAGTTCTTCTATAGACAGTAGAAGTCCTATAGCTCCTATATGGATTGTAGAAGTCCTATAGATCGTATACTTTCAGTAGAAGTCCTATAGCTCTGTTATGGACAGTATGGAACCTAGGTCTTTTCTTTAGATTGTAGAAGAGTTATAGTTCGTCACCGATGACGATCCTTAAAAAACATTTTTTGAATCATAGCGATCGTATGTTTTATATTTTTTCCACTATCCATCGTATATCTCATACAAATTATGATTCGCATTTATATAATGAAATATATGCCTGCAAATAAATTACATGTAATTTGAAAAAATATACCCACCATGCCTCCGTCAAGTGGCAGAAAGCCATCGAATTTCTCCAAGTGCTTCAATAATACAAACACAAAATAAAATTCACGATAATCAAGACCGTCAAGGCCAACAGAAATTAATTCTATTGACCACTTAAATTCTAATCTCTTATATTTTATTTTCTATTGCCATCTTCATCTCCACCTCCTCCTCCTCCATCTACCATCCTCATTGATTACAACAGGGCATGTTTAAGGATAAAACCAAATATCCCACATTGACACGCATGTCGTATTGCCAGTGCCGTTTGAAATTAGTTTTCGCCAGTGTCTTTCGTCAATTTAATTGGAAACATGTTGCCCTGCTGGTGGATCGTTCCGATTTGTTTTCGCTGACGGTGGGTAAAAATCTGGAATACGGTCTGCGGCAGGAGGGCCTCCTGAGTTTTGTACGTGAATTGAATGGCAATGAACAGGAACCATATGAGCTGTATTTAAAGGATGCCAGCATGTATGCCAGAGGTAAGTTCAACCGAAAATCTGTCTCTCTGTGACATAGTTGTGGGTTAAGTGGAATAGAAGTGTGTCTGTGTGTGTGGGAGAGTGTGTTCGTGTGTGAAGAATCCTTAGGGAAAGATTAATATATCGTTTCTTTTTCATTTTAATTTTTTGGTGGGAAATTTGCATATTCCTTTTCCCAATCTGCCAGTGGTAATATTATCTGTTCGTGGCACATTGGTAAGAAAATTTATGCTGGCTGCCTATTCCTTGGGTATGACAAACGGTGATTGGGTCTTCTTAGACGTGGAGATTTTTCAGGTGAGTACAACATTTGATTGTCATGGAAAGTAATCTCTAAACAACATGATTTATTGTTATATCTTCATAAAGAGTTCCTATTGGGGTGATCACGACTGGGAAATGGGCGATGCTGACGATGGTCGAGCGCGCAAGGCCTACGAGGCCTTATTAAGGGTATCTTTGCTGCAACCCTCGAGTCCAAAATATCAAGGATTTGCTGATAATGTCAAAGAAATGGCATTGAAAAATTACAATTACACCTTTGGAGAGGGAGAGGAGGTAATACGGATTTTGTTTTTTTTTATTTATGGAAATTTGAAAATTTTTAACTTTTAGGTCAACTTTTTTATTGGCGCATTTTACGATGGAGTCTATTTGCTGGGCATGGCCCTGAATGAAACCTTAAGCGAGGGAGAGGATATTCGTGATGGCATGGCAATTACACGTCGTATGTGGAATCGTAATTTCCATGGTATTACGGGTCATGTCCGAATCGATGATAATGGTGATCGAGATGCCGATTATTCAATATTGGATTTGGATCCGATTAATGGAAAATTTGCCGTTGTGGCACATTATTATGGTTTGCATAGGTAAGTTTTAAGATTATTTATGTTTATAAACTTTGGAAAGAGGAACAAAGATTTCTTCCGTACAAATATTTTATAGATAGAATATATCTTATTGCTCTTCTACAGAAAAAAAACTTGTCCTATAGTCTATCAAGGACTATGAAGATCTTTAATAAGAAGAAGAATGTTTATAAAAATTAAAATATTGTGGAAAGAAGAAGACAGATAAATTCCAATAGCTCGTCAATTGAAGGAAACCCAGTAAAGACCCATAGTCGGACAGTTCTGTCATTATGATAGTCTACACCACATCAGTTATTCTGAGAATTTATATATAATCGATTTAAATAAGACTTGGCACACTCCATTCTATTCTAAATTCGCGGTGCAAAATTTCGTGTCAATCGCACAGACATAGTAAATTTTATGAACTATTTACATGAAATCGGAACAGAATAGATTCTTACCAATTTCAAAAGGATTCATCGTGGGACTATTGTCTGAGAGATGTCATATGCCCGTTCAATCGAATAAGGCTGGCCCTAGACACTCCTTTTAGTATACCAATTGTCATTTTTATGAGACTTTCTGATATTTACATACTTAGCTGACAGAATATTTGTTCCAAAGATTTTCAAGCACGTTGGTCTTGTGCGCAGCTCCCATAGATATTTCGGAGAATTTTTCTCCCAAGCACTGTCTCACCAGCTTGGGCAAGTATCCATGCTTCAGATCTATATAGCCGCACGGCTAGTATCAGCGTGTTGTAGAGTGATTGAGTTTGGTCTGGTGAGATATCCTTTCCGACTTTAACTGCTAAACTTGTGCCAGTAAATGTTATCTTGCATAGCCGTATTAATTTTGCTGGAATGCCAAACGCAGAAGAATGTTAATGTTATGACCAGGGCATATGCTGTTGTCTTTGTCTGTTCATCTTTTCTTCCGTCGGAACATCCGCGCAAATAAGGCTAATGTAGAAGAACTTCGCTTTTATACGGATTATAGCAATTCGCTCCTCTAATGGAGTGAATCTGGGGACGAGGTCTTTTATTCTCCTCTTAACCATAAATCATGTCTCGTTTTATGGCACAGGCCGTAAGTAAACATTAGATTTACGTATGCCTATTCCTTTCCATCGCATTTCCTGTAAGGCAATAATATCGGCTTTGTACTTCTTGAGTACACCCGCCAAAGCGAAAACTGCGCCTGTTCTGTGCAATGTGGCACATTCCAAGTGCGGGTTCGGTTTCCTTTTTCGTTGTGTTTTCATAGTTTTCCGAGTGTGGGCAACTAACCCGACGCCTCAAACCATTTTGTATAGTTGTTATGATAAATATTTCAATGGATGATGAAAGTAGCTACCCCAGGTGACACAGCGGAGAGGTCAGTGTCCACAATTGCAATGACATAGGGAGCCTGGGCTTTGCCACATTGAAGCCAATCAGTGTCCTGGCTTGGAATCTATCATCTCCTTCGTCACCCCTTTCCGACATATAACCCTTTAAAATTCCGAAAATATCATATATTGCTTTTAATACACTCAATAGAAAGCATTTTCACAGAAAGAGGAATACAAATAATTCTTCTACAGAGGTGATGTCTTAAGCTTTTCTACAGAATAAAGAAGTCCTATAGATCTTCTATATAATGAAGAGAAGAAGAGCATTACTATTAAAAAACATACAGTTTTTCTATAGAAAAAATAAGACGGTTTAACGTATGACCATTGGTTGTGTTGTTTACAGTGATTTTAAAAATCTATTTGCAAAAAATAAAATAAATAAATTACTTCGTGAACATTTCCGTGCTATCATTTTACACAACTTCCGGTGTGGAATACCGGAGAATCCACCATAGGAAACGACGTAAGAAAAATGAGAACACAGAGAACGAGTGTCTAATCAGGATTACTGGTACCAATTATTGAGTAGCATTGTTCTGTTGGATCCCGCATAATTCCACAACCGCTTAATAAAGATTTGTGTTTAGAAATTTTGAAAAAAATTGATCTTTGAGCTTCTAAAGATTTTTATAAGATCGTGTGACAAATCATAGATCTATACATATGGACCCGAAATAAAACTGTAATTCATGATGATTTCACACCTAACCAGAATTCAAAATACTGAATTATAGTCAAATAAATTTACAGGCTATATTATATGTGGTAGCCTTCGTATGCTTGAACTTTGACTGTTCCAATCAGATCGTCAAAAGTGATATAAACATCCAATACTGCAGAATCTTCAATAATATATCATATTCACCCTATTTAGATTTTGATCCACTTATCAGATAGCTCAGTAGGTGAAACATACGAATAAACTAAAAAACAATAAATTAAAACCACTGAACGAAGCAGTATAGTCGAACGGGCCGACCATATTATACCCTTCACAACTACCACCGAATTCCAATTTTCTGCAGATTCATAATCCGAGACTGGGAGATACTTCGAGGTATTTGTACCCTCTTAATAGATTAGAGGTCAAGAGGTCCTCTTTCTTACTCTCGTATATTTTCTTACCCTCTTGTAAAGGTCAAGCACTCCACTTGGTTATATTCTCGGGTCTATGTCCTTCAGGAGTAAATATATATTAGCCATTGTATGCAAATTTTACCATTTTTCATATAAAAGTCTGGGTCTTTTTGACCCGCTAAGTATTGACAGATTTTCATTAAAACAGTCATGCTAATTGTATGGTCTGTGTAACATTTTATGATGTTCGGGTTATAATTGTAGCCTAGAACGACTAAAAAACAGACAGTTGTTGGTCCATTTCATCCCCTATGTATTAACCGATCATTAAAAAAAAAAACAATTAAAAAAGCGTTAAGTTCGGCCGGGTCGAATTTTGGATACCCTCCACCATAGAAATACTGACAATTTTTTTAAATGAAAAAATAGGGAACATACTTATAACGATAATTCTTTCAATCTATTGTTGTAAACCAAATAGAAAATTCAGCAATTTCAGTGGGGGTTTTCCTAAAATCTCAAAACCCTAAAATGTTGACATATATTATCAACGCATAGAACTTTGAAACATGTGTATAAAATCCTGAAAATACTTCAATTTAAAGGGCAATATTATATATGAGGCACACTAAAGCGGGACCAATATTGACAACATTGTGTAGGAATTAATAACTTCTTGGTGTTTTCATTATATAAGGGGTTAGGCCTAATTAAGGGCCGATGTAACTCAAGATCCAAGCTAATATTTTAGTTTTCAATCCCAATACCGTCCATCACGCTAAATATTAAATAGGTAGGATGTTTTATATAGGACCTGGTCTTAAATGCGGGTCGATACAGTTCATTCTCAAACCTCACGTTTCAGTTTTTATGTCGATATCCTCCGAGATAAAAATGATTACAACATATGGCTAAATCGACTGAGTCGTTTTAGAATTCCATACTATGTGGGGTATGATCTGAAAATTTCGTCTACCGAATAACCCCCCTACTATGGTGGAATACAGCTATATGGGATAACTCCAACACCCGCAAGAAATCAGCTAACTATTTTTAAAATAAAAAAAGGGGGTTATATGGGGACTACCCCTAAAAGGGGGTGAATATTAATAATTTTTGGTTGGGAGATTTGTTACCATATACGACTACAAAATACCAAATTACTGTGTATTCGGTTGAAAAACGGTCTCAAGAACCCCAAAATACCGAAAATTTGGGGTACCCTTATATGAAGGCTACCCGAAAAAATGGACCTATATTTATAATTTTTTGTGGAGAGATTTAATACCCAATAAAAACTCGAAGTATTAAATTACAGCCAATTCGGGGGGAAAATCCGGTCAAAACCCCCCTAAAACTGAAAATTGGAGGGTACCCTTATATGGGGACTACCCAAAAAAATGGACCTATATTTATAATTTTTAGTGGAAGATTTGCTTCGCAATAAGAACTCAAAGTAGCAAATTTCAGTGAATTCGGTTGAAAAACGGGCTCAAGAACCCCAAAATACCGAAAATTGGGGGTACCCTTATATGAGGGCTACCCGAAAAAATGGACCTATATTAATAATTTTTTGTGGAGAGATTTGATATCTAATTAGAACTCGAAGTACTAAATTACAGCCAATTCGGTGAAAAAATCCGGTCAAAACCCCCCAAAAACGGAAAATTGGGAGGTACCGTTATATGGGGGCTACCAGAAAAAGTGGACCTATATTTATAATTTTTGGTGGAGTAATTTTGTATTCAAAAAGAACCCATTATACCAAATTTCAGCGAATTCGGCTGAAAAACGCACTCAAGAACCCCAAAATACCGAAAATTAGGGGGTACCCTTATATGGACCATCTTCGATCTTGACCTGCCTGAAGAAAAAAGACAAACCTATGCAAAATGTCAGCACCATATCTCAATTATTTTAGAAGATAGCGTGATTACAACAGATGGACGACGGACATGGCTAGATCGTCTTAGAATTTTACCCTGATCAAGAATATATATACTTTATAGGGTCGGAAATGAATATTTCGATGAGTTACAAACGGAATGACAAAATTAATATACCCTCCATACTATGGTGGAGGGTATAAAATATGTACAATGACTCGGGATCAATTGCCAGCCGTTAGAAGGAGGATATGTGTTACAAAAATATTCCTCATTCGATTTGACTGAAGACATGTGATTCCAAAAAAAAAAACTGCCGTAGCAGCAATACCTCAAAATCAATTCTTAATAACTCGATAATGTATTTCAACTTTATAAGCTCTTTTCCATCTCCCAAACCAGAGCTCGATTTTGATTCCAAATGTCTTGGAACCAATTTGGAGTCGAATAATAAATGCGAACTGTCGAAGGGAGTGACTTCCTTTACACTGTGCCGATCATAATATGTTTTTCGAACTTTTTGATGTTCAATGGTATCGGAACTTTCCTTGTTTTATACACCCCACATAATGGTAAACATATTGAATGATAAAAAATATCATCCGATTTCATCCAAACTTATTTTATATTTTACTGTGTCTAGGTTATGTTGGAAAATAGAGTCAGCTTCTTTTGGTATGTGGTACCAAAAGAAGTTGCGTATTGTTGACTCTTACCCTCTATGATCCTTTGTAATTATTTATACTAATACGTTATCTTTTTCTCGATTTTAGAAATTATTCCGGAGTACATGGTAAGAAAATTCACTGGCCTGGTGGTAAGGAGGGTCCTCCACCAGATATACCAAAATGTGGATTCTTGGGTAACTCACCAAAATGTCATGGTAATGGTAAGTATATGCCAACAATTTTCATGGAATATATAGGAAATTAATAAAAAAAATCTTTTAACAGAACTTATTATTGTCTACGCCATGTTCGCTTTGATAATTTTTTTGGGGTTTACATTCTTGGTCGTATATCTTATGTGCAAGTAAGAAGCTCTAAGCTCTACTTCTATCTGACTATTTTTGAAAAAATTTCTATCTTCCAGGCAAATGAAATTGAATAATGAATTGAATAACATGTCGTGGAGGGTGCGACCTGATGATGTTCTTCTAGAAGTGGGACGTTTGTATGGCAGTAAGGTGGGCCTGCAGAAATTGAATGCAGAGGTAAGAGGGAACTAAAATTGGGATATTCGAAATTTATTTACTATTTCACTCTCCATAGAATTTCTCCCTGCAACAATATGGTATACATTCGGGTCGAGCCTCCATTGCCAGCTGTACATCGCTGCCCTTAACCCAGGTCTTTACCACCATTGGCATCTTTAAAGGTGAACGTGTCGCTATTAAGAAAATCCACAAAAAGAAAGTGGACATAACCTCCACCCTATTGTGGGAAATAAAACAGGCTCGTGATGTTAGCCATGAGAATACAGTACGCTTCGTGGGTGCCTGCATAGATTTACCCAGACCAACTGTGTTGATTTTAACCGAATATTGTCCCAAGGGAAGCCTCAAAGATGTACTCGAAAATGAAGCCATACAATTGGATTGGAATTTCCGAATGTCTTTGATCCACGATATTGTCAAGGGTATGGCGTATTTGCATAACAGTGATGTTCAGGTCCATGGTAAATTGCGTTCCTGTAATTGTCTTATTGATGGTCGATTTGTATTGAAAATTTCGGATTTTGGTTTAAGGACATTGACCACGCCTTCGGAATTTGTTAAGGATCAAAATTATTTTAATAGTAAGTGTAGAATGGAAAGGAGGGGTGTTAGCTCCTCTGGGGGTGAGTGGGGGAGAAAATCAGATGTAATAATAAAAAGTTTGGTTTATTGTAGAATTCATGTGGATTGCCCCTGAGTTACTGCCGTTAACCGTGTTTCCTGGTAATCCCGCCACCCAAAAGGGTGATGTCTATTCGTTTGCCATTATTTTGGAGGAAATCGTGGTACGAGGTGGTCCCTATGAAACGGCAAGACAATTTATGGATATCCAAACTATATTGAATCGTGTAGAGTCACATGAAAGTCCACCGTTTCGTCCATTTGTCGGTCAGCGTGATTGTCCCCCCGATGTGTTGGATTTAATGGAAAAATGTTGGGCTGACCATCCGGATGATAGGCCAGCATTTGGTGCGATTCGTTCCACAGTGCGACTGATTATGAAGTGAGTATTTTTGAAACCATTAGGACTTAGGCCTTAAGTTTGGTGTATACACCCATCCTGATGGAAAGAAATAAGTCCAGCATGAACTGTCGAATTCAGCTCAGCTTTTAATTTTAATCTTTTTTAATTTTTCTCTTTCAGAGGCTTCTGTGAAAATCTCATGGACGACCTACTGCGGCGCATGGAACAATATGCCAACAATTTGGAAAGTTTGGTTGAAGAGAAAACCGAACAGCTGAGCATTGAAAAGAAACGTACTGAAGAGTTACTGTATCAGGTTCTGCCACGGCCTGTGGCTACCCAATTGCTGGCCGGTGAAATGGTACAACCCGAACAATTCGAATGTGTAACCATTTATTTTAGTGATATTGTTGGCTTTACCGCCCTCTGCGCTCAAAGTGGACCCATGGAAGTGGTCGATTTTCTCAACGATTTGTACAGTACTTTTGATCGTATCATTGGATTCTATGATGTCTATAAGGTAGGGGAGGAGGGAAGATATTCTGTTGTATAAAATTCAATAAAATATTCTACTTTCGTTTAGGTGGAAACCATAGGCGATGCTTATATGGTGGTATCGGGCCTACCCGAGCGTAACGGGGACAATCATGCCCGAGAAATTGGCCTAATGGCTTTGGCCATTTTGGATGCGGTGAAAAGTTTTAGCATAAAACACAAGCCAGAATATCAATTGAAAATCCGAATTGGTATACATTCAGGTCCTGTGTGTGCCGGGGTGGTGGGTCAAAAAATGCCACACTATTGTCTGTTTGGAGATACGGTTAATACGGCATCGCGTATGGAGTCGACTGGAATGCGTAAGTTGGGTACACTTTAAAATTAATTTAATAAAATAGCTGATTTTCTTCGGCGAACAGATTCTTCTTAGAAGATCAGAAGGCCTTGTTCATATAAGAGCTGAATGTCATCTTCTTCTTAGGAGAGCTGAAGGTATTCTTAATAGAGGGGCTAGTGGTCTTCTTCATAGAAGAGCTGAAGGTCAGCTTCTTCTTCATAGAAAAGCTGAAGGTCAGCTTCTTCTTCATAGAAGAGCTGAAGGTCAGCTTCTTCTTCATAGAAGAGCTGAAGGTCAGCTTCTTCTTCATAGAAGAGCTGAAGGTCAGCTTCTTCTTCATAGAAGAGCTGAAGGTCAGCTTCTTCTTCATAGAAGAGCTGAAGGTCAGCTTCTTCTTCATAGAAGAGCTGAAGGTCAGCTTCTTCTTCATAGAAGAGCTGAAGGTCAGCTTCTTCTTCATAGAAGAGCTGAAGGTCAGCTTCTTCTTCATAGAAGAGCTGAAGGTCAGCTTCTTCTTCATAGAAGAGCTAAAGGTCAGCTTCTTCTTCATAGAAGAGCTGAAGGTCAGCTTCTTCTTCAGAGAAGAGCTGAAGGTCAGCTTCTTCTTCAGAGAAGAGCTGAAGGTCAGCTTCTTCTTCATAGAAGAGCTGATGGTCAGCTTCTTCTTCATAGAAGAGCTGATGGTTAGCTTCTTCTTCATTGAAGAGCTGAAGGTCAGCTTCTTCTTCATAGAAGAGCTGAAGGTCTTCTTCTCCATAGAAGAGCTGAAGGTCAGCTTTTTCTTCATAGAAGAGCTGAAGGTCAGCTGTTTCTTCATAGAAGAGCTGAAGGTCAGCTTCTTCTTTATAGAAGAGCTGAAGGCCAGCTTCTTCTTTATAGAAGAGCTGAAGGTCAGCTTCTTCTTTATAGAAGAGCTGAAGGTCAGCTTCTTCTTCATAGAAGAGCTGAAGGTCAGCTTCTTCTTTATAGAAGAGCTGAAGGTCAGCTTCTTCTTTATAGAAGAGCTGAAGGTCAGCTTCTTCTTCATAGAAGAGCTGAAGGTCAGCTTCTTCTTTATAGAAGAGCTGAAGGTCAGCTTATTCTTTAAAGAAGAGCTGAAGGTCAGCTTATTCTTTATAGAAGAGCTGAAGGTCAGCTTCTTCTTTATAGAAGAGCTGAAGGTCAGCTTCTTCTTCATAGAAGAGCTGACGGTCAGCTTGTTCTTCATAGAAGAGCTGAAGGTCAGCTTCTTCTTCATAGAAGAGCTGAAGGTCAGCTTCTTCTTCATAGAAGAGCTGAAGGTCAGCTTCTTCTTCATAGAAGAGCTGAAGGTCAGCTTCTTCTTCATGGAAGAGCTGAAGGTCAGCTTCTTCTTCATAGAAGAGCTGAAGGTCAGCTTCTTCTCCATAGAAGAGCTGAATGTCAGCTTCATCTTCATAGAAGAGCTGAAGGTCAGCTTCTTATTTATAGAAGAGCTGAAGGTCAGCTTCTTCTTCATAGAAGAGCTGAAGGTCAGCTTCTTCTTTATAGAAGAGCTGAAGGTCAGCTTATTCTTTATAGAAGAGCTGAAGGTCATAGAAGAGCTGAAGGTCAGCTTCTTCTTCATAGAAGAGCTGAAGGTCAGCTTCTTCTTCATAGAAGAGCCGAAGGTCAGCTTCTTCTTCATAGAAGAGCTGAAGGTCATAGAAGAGCTGAAGGTCAGCTTCTTCTTCATAGAAGAGCTTAGGTTCAGCTTCTTCTTCATAGAAGAGCTGAAGATCAGCTTCTTCATAGAAAAGCTAAAGGTCTTCTTCATGGAAGAGCTTAAGGTCTTCTTCATGGAAGAGCTTAAGGTCTTTCTTCAGAGAAGAGTTTAAAATCTGCCTCATAGAAAAGGTGAAAGTCTCCATCTTCATAGAATGTCCTCTACTTCTCTAGTAATCCTGGAAATCTCCCAATAAAAATATAGCTTCTTTAGATATGATAATCTTCTAACTTTTATTTTTATTTTCTAACGTTTCTCCTCTTCATGTCTTTTATTTCATTTAGCTTTGCGCATTCATGTCTCTTCGGCGGCAAAGGTGATTTTCGATAAATTCGGTACCTTCGAAATGGAGCTACGTGGTGAAGTTGAAGTTAAGGGTAAGGGTACCGTGACGACATATTGGCTTGTTGGCTGCTCTGAACCAGATCCGCGACCACCAACACCACACAAAAATAATAATGATGATGTCCCCTTTCCTATTCTATTTCCGGCTATTGGAAAATAAGAAACCGAGGACCAAAAAACAAATATTTATCTATCTAACCTCTATGTTTGCTTATATACAAAAAAATCTGAAAAAGAAAACAAATTGCTTTATCCCACTGTAGTTCAATTATAGTTAAACAAAATGCTCAGTAACGATTTCGAACGAATTCTCTTCCACAAATAAACTACGAAGTGATATGTTTGAGTATTCGTCTATGTTTATAATAAGTGTAGTAA